GTGGAACCCTCTCGGCTACAGAGCCTTCTCTACTGCGGAACCTCCCCTGCTGTGGAACCTGCTGTGGTATAGAAATGTATCTGCTTTGGTCTTACCTTCTCTGCTGTGATGAAACCTTTTCTGCTACAGAACCTTCTCTGCCGTGGAAACTTCTTTGCAGTGGAGGAACCTTCTCTGCTGTAGTGGAACTTTCTCTGCTACAGATTATCCTCTGCTGAACATCTGAACCTTATATTCAGTCAAGCTAATAAATGTCAAAACGACCATTTAAAATTTGTAAACATTTCTAGGTATCTCATAGTTTATTCTTACTTGTACAATCATATTTTTGCATCCTGAAATTTAACTTTTGATGGCAAAAATGTCATCTAGGATATCTATATTTTCATCTCTGACTGGTAGGAATGTAGTTTTGACCAGGAAGAATCTTATTTTAGAGATCAACAAATGGAACAAAAGAGAAGACAGCGCTTCTTATAAATGTCAAAACGGCCTGCCATAATGTGATGGATGTGAAACACCACTGTGTTATTTTGGACATTCTAATGAGGGCTTAAATGGGGTTGGCAGAGGTTATTTCTTACCAAAGACTGTTGTCTAAATGACAATTTATAGTATATTTATATGCACAACCCTGTAAAAGTATATATAAAATTCCTATATATGAAAATATGCCAAAAATAAATAAATACATTTTTTTGTTGTTTCCTTCATTTACTTTATTGTTTGTATTTGATGGTGCTGTTTGAATCTGTTTCTCTGCTAGCCGAGGTTGAACTAAATAGTTATGCATGCGCTGAGAGAGCATGCATAAATACCTTTTTTTTTAAGTCACTCTTGATAACATTTAGTGCTAAATGAATTTAAAAATACTCATAATCTCCCACGCATCCATCTACAAAGTGTCTCATAGCCACATCACAGATTAGATTTATCAACAGAAAGTGCTGCTAATGCAGAGGGGATGCCATCTGGTTTGAAGAATGAAGCAGAGAAAATTTGCACCATGACTTACTGGGAAAAACACTTTAGCAGGCCCTTTTTAAGCAAACTATTTCCTCATTTCACCTGTGTTGATTTACATGTCTTCCTTTTCATTATTATGCATCATGTTTAAATAAACATACATAAATACATGAGTTGTGGGGAAAAAATGCAGTAGATTTATCTTGCACTGAAAATAAAATCCTGAAAATAAGTGTATTCTACAATAAAAAAGACAAAATGCTACGAAAAATAAAGTTTAATAATCAAACGAAAACTTACGCCACAATTATGGCGTCCACTGCTGTAATTACTTTGTACACATTTTGATCCCTGTCTCTCTCCTTCAGGTCACTGCATATTTATTTATTTTTCTTTTATAGGTTTTATTTTGGATTGCAGATTAATCCCCCTGACCCATTTTCAGTTTTATGACAGAGTGTATAAGCGTTTAATTATAAATTTCCCGGTATTTCAAGAGTTTAAAATGTCACACACTCAGACAAGGTTACATGAATAGACACTGACACACAGCATGATAGTCCCTCCACCGTGCTTAAGTTTTACACCAGATCATTCAGAATGATAGATGGAAAAAAACTGAAACTCACCATGTTTACATTTGCGAAGGTAGGATGAAGGATATTTCCTAGCATGTCTCCTCAATAACATGTAGACCAGTGTCATGTTTAAGCTGTCATCAGCGTTTCTGCAGCCGTCAAGTGCTACACAATTCTGCTAATCATTCCTCCATATAAGTCAAGCAAAGAGAAACCCAAAACTTCCTGGACAGTGGTATTCGGAGGATCAAAATGAGAACCGCTGACAGACTATTTAATGGTTGTCATGGAAATCGGTAATACAAAAAGTCCTCTCCCCCTTCAGCTGTTAGGGGACTATTTATCTTATTCAGCATTCTCTTCACAGTGCTTGGAGTCCAGATAAATATTTGAAAGTTTTCTGTCGGTAATAAAAATAGGTTTGTGCTTCATCATATTTATATTATAAGGAAACCAACAGTCATGGATTGCAAGCTCCTGAAAACTTGCAAACACAAGTAAATCTATAAAAAAAAAAGAAAATAACTTCAGTTACATGTATGCATGGCTTCAAATCAAATAGTTATGTAGTGCGTTGTTTCTGCATTGAAAGATTAATTAACTTTTTGTGCTAATCTATGTATATAATTACACAGTTTTGTCTCATTTGACGTTACCATGATAAGTATTTAATTTCCCTTTGGGATGAATAACATATTCTTTTATTTAATTATCAACAATAGGGGCAGGTGAGGATATCCAATTAAAAATATATATTTAAAACTGGCTAAATAAAATTTAAACATATCTTTTTATATTCAGATTTCAAGAAAAGGAAGCCAACTGTTTTGCTATTCGATTATTTACATGCTTATTTTAAATTTTAAAGATTTATTGATATTCAGCTGCATATCCTCCACCAAACACACAGGGGCAGTGTTGCTCAGCTTAAAATAAAGACTCAAAAACTTCAAAATGGTAGAAAAAACATTTATTTATTAGCTGGTCAGTAGGTAAAGTGATTCTACCAGCTTTACAGATGTGTTTATCCTATTGAGTCAACATTAAGACCCTAAGATCAGCTTTATGTCAAACATACAGTGTAACACAGCTGACATCAGATGCTGCCAGGTGCTCCTCTAATAATCTTCACATTAAATTATGGATCCCTTGAGCTTTATTCTCAGTTTATGTGCACTCAGGAAATAATTAAACATGATAGTGTCATTTTTATTTACAGAACCTATTATGAATGGGATTCTTCTGAGTAGAAAAAATTAAAAAGATTTTTGTGACATAAAAAAAAGTTGCATCACTGAGTGGTTCAAACGTCTCCAACCCTCCATGTTTTAGTAATCTCTCTCGTAGCAGCCCAGGCTCTCTCCGTTGTCGGGACACCTACAGGAGCGGCCTCTCGGTGTTGCTAAACAGAGGTGAGTGCAGCCTCCGTTGTTCACAGAACAGTAGTTTTGCCCTGTTGAAGGAAAGGGAACATTTGAGGGGAATTGTTTAAATAAGAATCCTGCACAGCGAGGAGCAGCAGGAACAGCCTCTTTACATATATGAAACACATCCAAGGGAAACACATAGCAAACTCCAGATGTTGGAGGCCCACTCCCTTGGCTCCACATTCCCTGGGTTTGAGGCATCCAGCCTTTATCTAGAGGGGAGGATGAGGCCTGGTGTTTCACTTTACCATTACTCATTCCTCCTGCTGCAAATTCCTCATGTTAGTTTCTGCACGTTATGAATAAATGAAGTGTTTTCCACCAGCTAGCGTCTCTTACAGAGCTATTCGACTTGAACTTTTTAATGTTTTGTGATGAACAGCAATCAAGTAGCACATAATTATCGAAAGAACTTTTTTTTTCGTTTGAAATGAACCATGCATGCTTTAGTTATCTTTTTGTAAAAGAGCTTTGACAACAGTTTTAATGTTTTAACCAACTTTGTGCATCTGGAGACTTTAATTCAGCCCTTTATTGTTTGCTGATGAAGATTCTCAGTCATCCAGGTCATTGTCATTCCGTAAAAGTAAAAAAAAAAATCCACTGGACTTGGTTTCCAAGATTTGAAGATTTGTTTGTGCAATAGAAAGTTCTTTCAAACTGCATGAATAACATTGGTGATTATCATTTTTTTAACTTCATGCAGTGGTATTTAGGTGAGGACTTTGGTCCATTCAGACTAAAGCTCTGGCTGTGCGATAAGTCATTGTCTTGCTGGAAGGCGAGCTTCTATTTTAGCCTGAAGTATTTTGAAACATTGTGCTATATGTAGCTCAACTGATCTTCACATGAACTCTGATCAGCTTTCCTGATCCTGCTGAACAGTAGTATTCCCACAGCATCATACTGCCACTACCTTGTTAACAATGGCATTCTGACAAATATCAAATAACAAGAGTTAACATGGATCGTTTCTGACTAATGTTTTCCTTACCAAACCTGTTAGGTCTGCAACCTGTGGACCTTTAACAAAGGCTCTTTATAACCGTAGCTTAATAAATAATAGTAATAGTTTTTGAATATAAAGCTGATATTAAAAAAATGCAGTTTTTGGCTGTTTTTTGTCATGAAAAAGTTGGACTGAATTTTTTTTTTCTTTTCAAAATTGGTTAAAACATTTCATTATTTGCTATAAACTAACATCTTATAGAAAAAATATAAGGATAATTTTGAAAGAAAGTTATTTTTATTAAACTTTAAACAGAAATAAAAGGATGGTTCTACATATATGGCAATGCATTGTCATGATATCTAACAATAATCATGAGTTTTGCTTTTAAAAAGGTCAAGCTGCGGCTCTAAAGTTTTATCTAACTGGACAGAATGTGAAACTAGATCTCTGAGTTGTAAAGGTCGCAGACCCCGATGAATGCAGATGGAAATTAATCTGTTTGCAAGTGCAGTTTTTGTCAGATGTTCAAAGATTGGTATTTCGTAATAAAAAGAAAGGCTATTTTAAACTTCTCCACAACTTTATCCCTGCTTGTATGATGTTTTTATTCTTTTCCTCCACAGTTGTTTTTTTTAATTTCACACAGATGAATTATGATAACAAATTAGGTCACTGATTTTATGTAGAAGCATCAGAGTAAAGGCAAGTTAATACACAGATGTAGGTCACACTGTGATTTCCTTGTCAAGAAAGAAATCCAATATTTCTAGTAGGAATGTAAAAATATATATCGATAAAAACATAAAAAATTGCACTCTTTAAAAAGATTTAGTACCTGGAAGACACTGGGCGTATGCTGTGGTGATTCCATAGACGTTGGCCCGTTTCTGTGGCAGGAACTCATCTGACTCCTGTTCAGCGTAATGGTCCACTTCAACAACTGCATTCCTGTTGTAAACACAGCCAGCACAAGAAAATTGAGCAATGTGGGGATGTTTCAGCTTTGAGCGTCTTCCAAGTGTCTCCTGCTTTCCGCAAAGTCTGCTAAGGATGAGTAAGATTTTGGTTTCTGAGTCACAGTTGAATGCAAACTGTGGGAAGTGTTCGCCTTCCCCCACTAACACCTCTCAACCTTCTCTTGTAAGGTCCTGCTGAGATCACAGAGAGGCCCCTGGTAGGTCACTGGCAGATGCCTGAGCTGAGAAATTGCAAGCAGCTGTCACTTTTTAGGATTCCTTCGAACCCCGCACTTGCACCAACTCACCCCCAACCCCCGCTTTTTTTCAGCTGCAACATATCAAACACTCAGCAACATCAGGGTTAGAGAATCTGAGCCTAGGAGAACATGAAGACACAATTCCAAACCTTTTCCAATCAGTGTAGTAGATGTTCTTCCCAAAAGTTGTAATTCCAAACGGGTAGTGGATTCCTTCCAACACCGTGCTGCGTTGGCCGCGGCCAGGATTCATGCACTCCATTTTATGTGTGCCTACAGGCAAGAGATTATGCTCAGTGTTCTTCACAAAGCAGACATCAAAGTCTAGATTAGTCATCCGTCTGAAGAATACCTGCATCTGCCCAACACAGCAACGAAGTCTGAGGGTCGTAAGTTAAGGCGTTCGGCAGCATCAGATCGCTCTGAACCAAGACTCTCCTGTTGGATCCATCCATGTAGGAGGTTTCAATCTTAGGAGCCTCACGATTCCAGTCCGCCCAGTACAAATTCCTATCATCAGGAGACATAAAAACCACAAAAATCTGCTTTAGATTAAAAATAAATGAAAAAGATAGCATGTTCTTACTGAATATTAAGTAAAGAAATATACTTTTCAATGATTAGTTTCAACCCTAGCAAGAAATTTTGCAAAAGTACAAAAAAGTCTGTCTTGAAAAATATTCACATTTTGACCCGTTTGTGTAAAAAACGGCCAAAGTTCATGAGGTGGCACCAAACTGTTACAATTTCTGATCAATTAAACTTTCTTACGAGACATTTTCTGCTGTTTTACCTGTTTGTTCCTGGCTACAACCTCACAAATTGACTTAACAGATTTGAATTTCAGTGTTAAATTAATATTTGACTCTATAATATAATTTGATTGCTTCACTACCAGTCATTACCTTTTATTTGTACACTTGATTATACATATTTCATAAAATATTCACAATTGCATGTTCAACTTCAAGTCAAGTCTAATTTAGTGACTTAAGCGCAGTTGGAGTTCCAAACATGGATTTTCAATCTGAAACCTTATGAAAGCACACTGACAACAAGCTTACCCTTTAAGCCCCGCCTTAAATTGGTCTTGCCCAAAAAAAGGAGGCTTTAGTGTGAGCATCTTGTTTTTAGGTTAAAAGCTTGCTTGTCTGCTCCCATTTCTGTAGTGTCCTACCTGTGTAATTTTTAATATATAGACCTCCCCTCCTGGGTGGGCTTCTGTGATTTAACTACTTGAAATCTGCTGTTAATAAAGCATTTTTTTGTTCTTAAAATCTTCACACTTTTTATATATTTTTATATTGGTTGCAAGTTAATTATGGTGGTTGGCATTTAGCTTGTGCGTTCTAGGAAATATGTAGGAGATCATAGCCCTTTATATTAAGCATTACACACCCGTTAACGGGGTCTGTAATGATGGCTCGAGGGTTCACAAGATCTGTGTTAATGAGGACACGACGCTGGGCCCCATCAAGAGACGCCACCTCAATGCAATCATTCATAGAATCCGTCCAGAACATCGTTCTTCCAAGGTGGTCAATGGCGATTCCTTCAGGACTGCTTAGACCTATGAGAAATCAGTAGCTTGCGTTATTTCAAAACATTCTCCTCATTCAGTGAAAGAATACGAAGCTGAAATGCCGAAGAGTAAAAATACCTGACGTAATGACGGCAGTGGGTTCCCCTCCGTCGATGCTGGCCTTGCTAATTGAAGGAGATGTAATGTCTGTCCAATAAATCATTTTCTCCTTGCAGTCGTAGGCCACTCCAATGATTACCTTACCCTGCATCAGCAAATAACATTTTTAAGTGCTTCTGCGCTGAAAAAATGTGGAGCAGATGTGAGTCTAGACATAAATGCAAACAATCTGTGGGAAAATATCCAGCGTGGGCCGTTTAGCCAAACTTTCGGCCAGCTAGTTGAAAACATCTCAAACTGATGTTAGTCATTAAAGCACACAAAAAGCCACAATGTGACTCCAATAAATTCTTAGTCCTAAATGCTTGGAACAGACAGGAAGCTGACAATAAGTATTTGACTGAGCAAGAGATCTGATTTTAGAGTGGATGGAGGGAGTAATGGTTTTCGTTCTGCAGCTGCTTTGCTTTGTCTTGTGTAATCTAAATGAAATAAACACTTTTGACTGACTGGAACTGAAATAAACTTACAGGCAGATGGAGGACAGCCTTAGCTTCTTCCTTTTTCATATTATAATCTTCCATTGGGATGTGATCTATTCTGCCGCTCTGCGCAAACAGGAGGTGCGTCCCTGGGGGCAAAACCACATGAGGTGTGGGCCGGGGTCCCACAGGTGGAGCCACAGTACCATAGGGAATACCTGATGAAGTGAAAAGGAAAATTAAGGGTCATGTAATGCACTCCTTGACCTTAAAAATACTTTTTTTTTTATTGGCATTGGATATTTTCTCCTACTACAATGACCATTTACTTACAGAACAGACTGCTGCCGGGGCCGGTGCTTGTCCCAGGGATCTCTTGTCCATTTCGATCTACACACCAGCACTGTCCAGTGCTGTCGTGGCACTGAACTGGCAGAAAATCACCATTTTCATCACACCGTGGGATAAACTGGCCGACAGGAAGACGAGGCCCACGTGGATTGAAGCTGGTCTGATCCAAAAGACTTTCCCTGATGGCCTCACATCGAGTTTTCTCCCTTTCTGAGTAAAAAAAAAACAAAAACACGGTGCTGATTTTTACTCTCAAGTAGGATTGTCATGATACTAAACTTTTCAAATTGATACCGATACTAAGGAAAATATTCGATACTCGATACCATTTTCGATACCACAAGGATAAAAACAAAGACTCCAAAATTCAACAGAAATATTTTCATTAATAAATAAAATACAATAAATACATACAATAAACAATAAGAACAATGTTTTGAGGTTGTATGCTGTGCACAATATTAAGCAAGCTTGATAAAAAACTTATACAATTAAAATTAAGTGTTCCTTCCTTGGCTATGCTTCGCACACATAACAATGACACTGGCCAAACCGGTTAAGAAACAAAAATAATTCTCAGCAGCTGTACCTGTTACGAAACAAAAAGTCTGAAACTGAAAAGTGCGTAGAATTATTCAATCACTCAGTGTTCAGAAAGTGCATTTTCCTCTATTCTGCACTTTAGATGAATGACTGCTTAGGTGCTACTGGTGGTGGAACTGTATCGATACTTTTAAAAACGAGTATTGTATCCGGATACAACGTTTCAGTATCGATACTTTTTTGAGTATCGATACTTTTGACAACCCTACTCTCAAGTCTTAAATTTGCCAAGTTAAAATATGTATGTTTATTCTGGGAAACTCCTTTTTACTTTTTAAGAGAAAAAAACTAAAAGGAATTCAATCTAAAACATCCTTAGCTGAGTAAATTACCTTTAACTACAGAATAAATGTAAATATCAGCAGTGCATGATTTGTGTTTTCTGAGGAGCTCACCTGTGGAGCAGTAGAAGCCGTCTCCGCTGTAACCGGGTCGGCACTGGCAGATGAACGAACCCTGTGTGTTAGTGCACACCGCGTTCTGATGGCACCGGCTCGGCCGACACTCGTCCACGTCTTTAAGGAAGAGACGAGTAGATGATTAGGAAGAAGGATCATAAAACATACTGTAAAAAAAAACTTTTCCCAGGATGTAATGCCCCCTCCCTGACTTGTTGCTGAACATTGCCAACCAGATATTGGAAAACTACTGTGTTGTCCTCATAGTTAAAGAAAAGGCCAAATGGGCCATTTCAAATAATTCTGGTTGCAATAAAAATCAACAAGATGCAGAAACACCATCAATCCATTTTATTGTTTTGATGCAATTACATGCTATGGTATTTAGAGCTAAATGAAGAAGATTGGTTTCCAGGCCTGTCTATGCATAAACATTACAGAAAGGTCATCATCTTGCATAAAAAGTCATGTGTTTTTAACCTACCGGTATATGTAATTATAAATGATGATCAGAATCAGAATTGCTTGATTAATCCCTTGTGGGAAATGATTTTCTTGCAGTGCAACCGTTTACAGAAGAGAAAAATAAGATTGTTAGTACAATATAAGTATATGATGCGAGTAGTATTAAGGTTTTTCAGAAAGCCCAGACTCCTTTTTTTTTTTTTTTGCGAGTAGTATTAAGGTTTTTCAGAAAGCCCAGACTCCTTTTTTTTTTTTTTGAGATTTTACAGCACTAGTGGCTCGTTTTTTTTTTTTTTTTTTTTACAGTAGGCTGACAGAAAAAGGGGTATGATAGAGTGGGAGAGGCAAAGGACCAGAGGTCAGACCTTGGCTGCGTCGAGGACTAAGGCCTCCATACATAGGTTTTGGCGTGCTAACAACTGCACCACCAAAGCACACCCAAGCCTAGAGTATTTTACATAGAATTTAAGATATTTCAAATCCACCTGAACTTTGATCTGAACCTAGACGTTGATTATGTTGCAATAATCATACAGATTAATACCCATCTATATAATTACCCATGTAAATACCAATAACCCTGTATAATAATCTATATGTGGACGCACTGTATATAGTCCTGTGCACCTTTTCTTCCTTTGGCACCTTCTTCTTTTTGACTATTTGATCCAATATCAGGAGTTAATTTCTCCACTGTGATCTCAATAAAGTCAATCAATTAATTATAAGAGTCTCAATTTTATTCCAACTCTCTGCTGAAATATTCCGGTCTTACACTGCTTTATTCTCCCAATTACCCAGATGCTTAAAATTTGGATTGCAGATGTTCTACCTTAAAATAAACCAAGCTGATTCCAAAAATGTAACTGACCACTGCAGGTTAACCTGTATCTGTTTAATCCTAATCTGAAATCATTGTGGATTTGATTGTCTCTCTTCTACCTTGGCAGCTTTTCCCATCTCCAACGAACCCTGGTAGGCAGGTGCAGATGTAGGAGGAACCTCCGTTGTAGCTACACTGAGCTCGCTCTGGGATGTCACAGTTATGCGTTCCTTCATCACAGTGGTTCACTGGTCGATCAACCTCTGCGAAAACAAATAAAAAAGGAACTGGTGAATTAACTTTAAGCTTCCTGAGCAAATTAGGGATAATCTTGTACCTGGGTGGTTTGAACAGAACCCCCCAAAACGAACTCTGTTTCCACAATATATAAATAAATACATGTAGGAAATTGTTTAATCTACCTCAAAGTAGTTGGCTACCTCAAAATATCTTCCTAAATATCTGACAGGGCTTTCTCCATTAGCATTAACATGTTTTTTTTTTAACACTGCCTTGTCTCTGTGTGGTTCTACAGAGTTCAATCCTGGGCTTGTTGACACTTTAAACACATCTGTCCAACATTAAAAAAAGATGTCACAATTATCTCAGAACATTCAACTGGTAGCAACAATTTGACAGACACTCATTTATTCAACATGAAAACTTCCTACTCATCATAAATTTAAAAAGCTGTTAACCATGCCCATTTCTTTATAACCACTCAGAAGCCATTTTAGTCCGTGAGGCAGCCAGGCACCCTGTCTACTTTTAAGGCTAGGCTTAAAACTTTGCTTTTTGATAAAGCTTATAGTTAGAGTAGCTCAGATTATCCTGAGCTATCTCTATAGTTATGCTGCTATAGGCTTAGACTGCTGGAGGACATAGGGACCCCTATTTCATCATTCTATCTATTCTCCCAGCATCTGTTAGTCTCAAACTTTATGCTCTCTCTGCCTTTTCTCATAGTAGCTTCATCTGGTCTGTTCCTGTTTGGCTGCGACTCCATCCTGGAGAGAAATATCAGCTGTGCTGCTGCTATCAACACCTTTGTTTATAGATGTTGGAGATCGGCCTGTTTTTCTGTGTAGTCCTGTTTCTCTGACTGTGACTGGTTAGATGTGCTCTCTCATCCTCTGACATGGGAGCTGGCTCGGAGCTCGTCTGCCTGGCTGTGTGTTTCCTGGATGGGGTCGCCTTTTACAATTGTTTTTCTATCTCTACTTCAGTCTCCTTGAACCCCAGTCGGCCTAAGCTGATGGCCGCTCACACTCAGCCTGGTTCTGCTGGAGGTTTCTTCGGGTTAAAAGGGAGTTTTTCCTCTCCACTTTCGCTACAAGCATGCTTAGTGTGAGGGATTGCATTAGAGTCAATAAGTCGATGCAATCAACTGGTTTTCCTTAGATAGAAAACTTTGAATCAATTTGTCTGTCTGATCTGGTGAACCTTAATGTGCTTTGAGATGACATGTGTTGTGAATTGGCGCTATAGAAATAAACTGAAATGAAATAAATATTCTGACTGATAAGGCAACGTGTTACAAAGATAAAATAACCTTACACTGGTGTTTTTTTGTTTTTTTTTTATAACTTTTTTTTTTACTTTTTGCAACTTACACAGACTTATATATATAAAAGCAAACGTTCAATCTGCTGTTCTTCACTTGCAGTATAATTGACGAAAAAAACTAAAGTTAAACTTACAAGTAAAGTAGGTCACATGGTTAAACATGAGTAAATTACAAACATAAATATAGATAGTAATTGAATAAACAGCGCAAATGGACATAAAAGAGTTAAATAAAAATAAACTAAAAGATAATAATTAAGGAAAGATAAAGGAGAATAATATAAATAATAAAAAAATAAACTTAAAAAGGAGATTTTTACTGCATTAGTATGGTATTGGCTGGTTTCCACTCATTAAAAAATATGTCTTTTTGAAGCCTCAGGTAATAAGTTATTAGTTCCATATGATAGATTTCCCAGACTTTTTCAATCCACATTTTGTATGTTGGCAGGTCAGGCTTCAGCATTTTAACTGTGATGCATTTAAGAGTAAACAGAAATATTTGCAGAAGGTATTTTTTTTTATAATAATCCAAGCATTAGCATCTCAGGATCTTTGTTGAAGGTTTTCTGAAATACTTTTCTAAGTGCCTAAAATATATCATCCCACATTTTTCTCAATTTAGGGCATTTCCAAAATATAGTAAGATTGCCACTGTGTGACCCACAACTTCTCCAGCATTTATCTGAATGTATGGACCCCATTTTAGATATGACCACTAATGTGTTAACGAATCGAATGATTACCTTCCACCTAAATTCTCACCATGTATTAGAGTTAGTGAATTGATGCACTGCAGTGCATATTTCCTCCCATCTGTCTTGCTGTATATCTATATTCATTTCATTTTCCCATTTTTCTTTGGTCTGTAGAGTTTTGTTTGGATCCATATCTATAAATAGCGTGTAAAAGTGACTGATAATTTTCTTATTCCCACTATCTGTTTGCCCTTTTATCAAGATTTCTTCGATTTTAGTGGGCTCTAGGATTTTAGTCCACTCTCTGTGTTTTATTAAAAAGTCCCTTAGTTGTAAATACCTGAAAAATCTGTATTGGAGGGGTTGAATTCTACTCCTAATTGTTGAAAGGATTTAAAGCACCCTGCACTGATGTTTTGAATATTAAAATAGTTTCAATGTGCTCCAGGGACCTTATTTCCATCTAATGGAGCAACTTTGGGTGGTTTTAGAACGTAGAATTATCTTCACAAAGGTGCAGATGAAAAAAAACGTGAGGAGCATATTAGAGCTTTTCTCTCCATGTATCTGATGAAACTGTTTCTGTTCAGAGAAACAGGTTTTTAAAATTAAATCTTTAAATTTTGAGGTTCTAAAAAGTTAAGTTATGGATCCACAATTTGTTTTGCCTATTTCATTTCTAGAACTAGTTTCATATGATACATTTTTAAAAACCTCGGGATCTTCACAACACAAGAGACGTTCTAAATTATCCTCAAAAACATTTGCCTTAAAGTAAGATTCTTGGAGACACTATATTATTAAAATGGATCACTTATTTTCATTACCAGTTATCATAGTAGAAAAACTTTCTCAATCAGTTTGTGATGCACTTTGGAAACAGGAGATGAGTCCTTGGTCTAACTCACAACCTGGCTTGAGAAACCTGTTCAAAGACTTACTTTTACTTATAATTTAGGTAGCACACACATGTCATGAAAGACAGAAGTCAAATGAGCCATTTCAATTTAGATAAATTCCAAGATTACAGTGAGATTAATCTAGATTTTAAAAAAAATATCTATACCCACCACTAGTTTTAAGCCTTAGTGGCTAAATAGGACATCCACCACAGTTCACTGTTTTGTCAAGATTGAAGGTTATCTCTCCTACAACTATTAGCGTTTATCATCATCAAGGCCATAATTACAGTTCCTCCCAAATTACTTCCAAGAAACTTTCAGGGTTTTTTTTACTGAACAATTAAATCTGGAAATAGTAGTACGCAGTCCTCCTTTGGCTTTGAAACATATTAAGCCATCATCTATGTCTTGCATTATAACTATTAAAATTGCTGCTGACAGACTACAAAACTTAGTCTTAAATCTGAATCTGCATATTACAAACAATAAACAAGGTTTACCTGACAAAATGTCTTCCTTGAAAATAAATAAAGATGTTACTCACCAATGCATGTTCGTCCATCAGTACCAAACTGATACCCATCTTCACATTCGCAGCGGAAAGTCCCAGGTTGATTGTTGCAGACGGAGTTAGGTCCACAGATCCCAGGATTTTCTCTGCATTCATCGATGTCTGAAAAAAGAAATGGGGTTGATATCGGTTTCTGAATATTTCTAAGTTTGGAACCAATTTTTTATTGTGGAAATCTGCACGGAAAAAAGGGTGGCTTTCATTGCCCGGATTTAGCAGTTCAAAGGGAAAATCGTATTAGATAAGATTTGCTAATTTTCCTAAGATAGGATCTGTCTGAAAAACTTCCTTCCTTTGCCTACTGTGTGTTCTTCCTGTTTGGTCGGCCATGTAAAAGACTGTTGGCTGTGCACAGGAAATAATGACCACAGTCTATATGTCAGACAAGACTCGGAACGCCGAACAAACTGCTAATTGTGCTGTCCCACAGGAGGGGGGGTCTGGGCTACTCTAATAGTAGGTCTGAAACAGATATAAGAAGTTTTTCTTTTTTTCCCTGGATTTAGTATTTATTTAAGATTTATTTTTATTACAGAAGTAAGAATAGTAATGCCAAACATGAAAAGTGGACAGGGGATGAGAAGAAAGACATAAAAAAAAACATACAATCATCTGCAGTATCTGTGGAAGACGAAAAATGAAATGAAAAAATGTTGTAATGAAAAATGAAATGTAATACGAAAATCTGTAGAAGACGAAAAAAAAATATAAGAAGATTTTCATTATTGGCGGCTGTCTAAAGCATTTAGACCACTTTTCACCAACTTTTCATATTACTATCATGCACTTGACTATATACTAGTAGGATTTCATGATAAACTATCAAAGTAGGAAGTAACTGCAAAGTCAGAAAAATTTGAATTTTTTTTCAAATTTTAATTTTAAGACTAAAGTCTCCCTTGGTGCAGTACTCTGACTCCATATGCTGCAGAACCGCCGTTCACTGCAGTGACACCGGCATAGTGTTAGACCTCTAGGCACACTGCTTTCTGCATCTACAGAGACTAAATGCCGGATTTATCAAGATCCAATTTTGTG